GCTGCAAGCGTCGCCTGGCCGGTGGCAGCTCCACAGTGGGTCTGTGGGTGTAGCAGGACCTGAATATCTCCTTTGGAGGAATGGAAGTTGGGGACAGCTGTACCTGCACAGGTCCTGCAAGGAGCCCACCACGCTCGCTGCCCAATGTTTCTCCTCCCCTCCAGGTAGTGGCTCCCACAATCAGCTCCCCGGTCTGCCAGGAGCAGCTGATCGAGGCTGGCAAGTTGGTGGCCAAGTCAGCAGAGGGTTGCGTGGAGGCCTCCAAGGCGGCCACCAGTGATGACCAGCTCCTGAAGCAGGTTGGGGTGGCAGCCACGGCCGTCACCCAGGCCCTGAACGACCTGCTGCAGCACATCAAGCAGCATGCCTTGGGCGGGCAGCCCATCGGGCGTTATGACCAGGCCACCGACACCATCCTCAACGTCACTGAGAACATATTCAGCTCTATGGGCGATGCTGGTGAGAGTGGCTGATGGCACCTGATGTAGCGCGCGGTGGATGGGGAGGTATTGAGCCTGTGGGACTTGCTGACAGGCCACCCTTCCTTTCTGTCCCAGGGGAAATGGTGCGTCAGGCTCGTATTCTGGCCCAGGCCACCTCCGACCTCGTCAATGCCATCAAAGCCGATGCAGAGGGAGAGACAGACCTGGAGAACTCGCGCAAGCTACTGAGTGCGGCTAAGATCCTGGCTGATGCCACTGCCAAGATGGTGGAGGCTGCGAAGGTCAGTGGCGTGGGGGAAGATGGACACTGGCTTTGTCCCCCAGCCCCGTCTGACACCATCAGCTTGGTGCTGCAGAGAGGATGAGCAGCCCCTGAGTGGGAGAGCAGTTCCCAGAGCAAGGTCCTGCACTGAGCTGAGGACCTGTGCGGTGGAATGCAGCTTCTGGAGCTGTGGGTGGTAGCAGAGGAGCTGTTAGCTCTTTGCTGAGCTCTCCTGGAGACACTTTGGGCATCTCCAGTGTAGGCGGCCAGACTGCCTTGGGGTGACTCCAAGGCGTCAGGCTGCAGCACAGCCGCTGCTGCAGGAGGCCAGGGGACCCAGCTGTCCCTGCGAGGTGTGATGGGTTTCCTGCTTTCTTCAGGGAGCCGCAGCCCACCCAGACAGCGAGGAGCAGCAGCAGCGGCTGCGTGAGGCAGCAGAGGGGCTCCGCATGGCGACCAACGCTGCAGCCCAGAACGCCATCAAGAAGAAGCTCGTGCACAAGCTGGAGGTGAGACACCTGGCAAGGGGCCGCAGAGGCAGAGAAGGCACGGTCAGTGAGTGAGACCTGGCCAGGAGCCCCCGCATCCCTGCACTTCCCAGAGGGATGAAGTACTTTTCAGTGTCCATGCTGCATCCTTCAGATCTTCCTGCTACTCCCTTCCCTTCCCCGGTGTGCACTGTGTTGCTTTGGACCCTGGGCATGGAGGGTGCTGGGGATGCTCTGCTGTCGCAGGTGGAGGCACAGCAGAAGGAGCTTAGGGGGAGCTGGGCCCCAGCGCCTGGCAGGGGGGCTCGGGTCAGGCTGACCCATCGCCGGTGCTAACCCGTGCCTCCCTCTGCCAGCACGCAGCCAAGCAAGCCGCCGCCTCCGCCACCCAGACCATCGCCGCCGCGCAGCACGCCGCCTCCTCCAACAAGACCAGCAGCAGCTGGTGCAGAGCTGCAAGGTAAGGGACCGGGCCTGATCCTGGCGTCTCCTGCCTCTCCCCGTCCTTTCTCCCGTCAGCCATGCCGAGGCTCCGTGCTGGGCTGCAGCAGGCAAGCAGGACCATGGGGTCTTCACGGGAGCCGGTCTTTTGGTCACTGGTCCTGGATTAGATCTGTGGGGAGCGCTGTCTCCTCCCACCTGAGCCCCTCCAGTCACCCTCCTCTCTGGCAGGTGGTGGCAGAGCAGATCCCGATGCTGGTGCAGGGCGTGCGAGGAAGCCAGTCCCAGCCGGACAGCCCCAGCGCCCAGCTGGCTCTCATTGCTGCCAGCCAGAACTTCTTGCAGGTACCCACGCTGCCCACAGCCTCCCACACCAGCTCCGGCCTTACAGCTTTCCTACTTTGCCTAGCCCTGCTAAGAAACCTCCTGCAGGTGAGAGGCAGAGAGGAGCTAGCCCCAGCGCCCAGCTGGCTCTCATTGCTGCCAGCCAGAACTTCTTGCAGGTACCCACGCTGCCCACAGCCTCCCACACCAGCTCCGGCCTTACAGCTTTCCTACTTTGCCTAGCCCTGCTAAGAAACCTCCTGCAGGTGGGCGGCAGAGAGGTGCTGCCTGTTTGTCCCCTTCTCATGGCGTTCTCTTTTGACCTGGCAGCCCGGTGGGAAGATGGTAGCTGCTGCCAAGGCCACCGTCCCCACCATCACGGACCAAGCCTCCGCAATGCAACTCAGCCAGTGTGCCAAGAACTTGGCCGCGGCTCTGGCTGAGCTCCGCACGGCTGCCCAGAAGGTGAGAAGCTGGGTCCCATTCCACAGTGGGACACTGGCTACGCAGAGCAGGAGCGGGAGAGCGGGGAAGGCCCCATGGCAGGTCATGGTCTGTGCCACAGCAGGGTGGGTTCAGTGGTTGCCTCGCTCACCCTCCCTTCTCCCCATCGCAGGCTCAAGAGGCGTGTGGACCTCTGGAGATAGACTCGGCACTGGGTCTGGTGCAGAGCCTGGAGAGGGACTTGCAGGAAGCCAAGGCAGCTGCCCGTGATGGCAAGCTCAAGCCTCTGCCGGGAGAGACGGTGAGGGTGCAGGGAAGGGTGGCATGGGGTGGCGTGGGTGGAGGCTGGAGGTTCAGCCCACCCGCATGTCCCCAATTCTCCCCCTGCAGATGGAGAAGTGCGCTCAGGACCTCGGGAACAGCACAAAAGCCGTCAGCTCTGCCATTGCTCACCTCCTGGGAGAGGTGGCTCAGGGCAATGAGAACTACACAGGTACTGGCCTCCATGCTGGGACTGGGAGAGGAGAGGGGGCCGCGCCGGCAGCGACTGACATCTCCTTTCTCCAGGGATTGCTGCCCGGGAGGTGGCCCAGGCCCTGCGCTCGCTCAGCCAGGCTGCCCGCGGCGTGGCAGCCAGCACCCCCGACCCGCAGGCGCAGAGTGCCATGCTGGAGTGCGCCAGCGACGTCATGGATAAGGGCAACAACCTCCTCGA